ACAATTTTTAAAAGGCAGTGGCTGAAAGCAAGGACTTGTGAATCAGACAGACCTGGGCTTGAGCCTGACTCTGCTACTTCCTCCCTGTGTGTCTATGTGTCAGTGACCTAACCTCTCTGAGCCTCAGGTTCCTTATCTTTCCAACAGGAATAGTAAGAGATCAATCTCAGAAGGCTGCTGTGGAGATTAGTAGAGGAGACTCCTGAAAAGGACTTAGCAAAGTGCCTGACTGTTAGTTTCATTGTTACTGATAATTTTTTTTTAAAGCTGGGGGGAGGGGGTGAGGGTAGAGGATCAATTGCCCATGTAAGCTCATGATAATTTCTGGAAGGATTTCAGGTCACCTTGGCAAAAGATAGAGCAGTATTTCTTCCCAGCTTTCATCACCTACAACACCAGATTCTCAAGAGAGGCACTCCCACCTGCCCCCCTCCGTAAGGCTCTCCTCTTCTCAGAAGAATCTAAAGCCTCCTGAGAACTTGGCAATCTCCCTGGTAGATCCCCACCTTGATATTTCATCAACAGTTTCCACCCAAGTGGCTCTAGTACGAACCCATCGATAGAAAACATACTGGGGCAGTGTTCATGCCTTTCCACCCATAGTGGGTTTACAAAACGGGTTTACCACTCCCTTGGAATGCTGTCACTCAGCCATTTGTACAGCTATGGCCAATCTATAGCCAGATGACTCATGGAAATTTTTCTTTTTGTCTTTTTTCCCCTTTGCCATGGAAACTTGTCAAATGTTTTCTGAAGGTACAACACCATGTCCCTTTGACAATAGGCTAGCAAACTGAAAACCAAAATAACACAAATTACATCAAATAGAGTCGTATTGCCAAATGGAAAGGATTTGGAATGAATGTACACACACACACACACACACACACACACACACCACACACCACACCGAGAGAGAGAGAGAGAGAGAGAGAGAGAGACAGAGAGAGAGAGAGAGAGAGAGAGAGACAGAGAGAGAGAGAGATTGAGGATTTATTTTTTCCCTTCAGTCTCTATCACCTCAAAACCTATTTCTAGATCAAGGTATCTTAAAGAAAATCATGCCCTCCTATGCTCGGGCTTCATAGAGTCTGTGAATCATTTGAAATCCCAAGTCAAGTTTTCTATGTTAAAATATTAGCATTTCAGTGCAAAGGAGGTATATATTTCCACCAGTTTTCCAAGGGATTCAACTCAATGAAACCTTCAGAATGCTTCTGCAAAATCTGTCTTCCTTCTCTCTGGATGTGGCAGTGTTTCTAGTTGCCTCCCAATAGCCATTCCACCTTCACCCATAGTAACAGGAAACCCCAATTTATAACTGGGATTATAGCCACCCAAAATAAAGACTGCATCTCCCAGCCTCCTTTGCAGCTAGGGGTGGCCATAGCTGCAAGATGTCTGATCTATAGACAGAATTCTTAGTGTTAGTGTCCAGAAATTTTTATGAAAGAGATTTGTCTGTGCTTTTCCTTCCTTCCTTCCTTCCTTCCTTCCTTCCTTCCTTCCTTCCTTCCTTCCTTCCTTCCCTCCCTCCCTCCCTCCCTCCCTCCCTCCCTCCCTCCCTCCCTCCTTCCTTCCTTCCTTCCTTCCCTCCTTCCTTCCTTCCTTCTTGCTGGCTGCAATGTGGACATGATGGCTGGAATGTGGACAAGTGACTTTCTGATTCATGACGTGGCTTTGACAATAGAGCCCATATGGATAAAGCACTAGGATAGAAGGGCTCTCCAGCCTGAGGACATGGCGGAAGAGGGACACATGTTAGCCTCAGATAGAATCTCTCTGGACTTCAACATTAAGAAGAAATAAATTTCTCTCTTGTTTCAGCCACTGTTATTTTGACTGTGTTGTTCGCAGCTACAGCTACTCCCAACTCAAATTCAGGGTGAAGCTAAGACAGTCCCCAGAAGGAATATCGTGTTAATCTCTCCTTCTCCATCTGTATACATCCTCCCCAGCCCCTCCAGTCTTCCTCCCGCTCCAGGAACAGAGCTTGAGAACCCTGTCAGCTGAACGCTCCTAAGAGCTGTCACTCCCAGACCTAGAAAGAGCTGTTTTCAAAGCAGTTGTCTGGCATCAAAGTCACCAACTGGTCAAACCAGCTTCTGCTCTGACCTCAGAGGTATCTGGGAGAGGGGCCTCAAGATTACAGACCTTCCAGCTCTCCCTTTTCCAAAGATCTCAGAGCCACCCTCTGTCTAAGGGGCTCATGATGGAATTCTTCATAAATGCTCCAAACTGAAAGGAACATGTACCACTTTTCCAGCCAGGCTCTACACAGGGGAGGCAGAATGATTTACCCCTTAGAGTAATATTAACACTGGGAAAGTACTAATAACTTGGTTATTTCTTAATTATATGCCAAACAAGGGGTAGATTACTCATGAGTTTTCCACGAATTGGGGAGGGGGCAATTCCGGAACTGAGGGTTCCTCCCCTTTTCGGACCATGGAGGTCTAAACATAACTTCCTTACGTTGTCAGGGCATCTAAACTGTGATGACCCTGGTGGGAGTGTCCTTTAGCATGCTAATACATTATACTTAGCAAAAAAGGAGGTGTGATGACCTGAGGTGACTCACTGCCATTGTGGTCCTGGTGGGTTTCTGCCGCTTCTTTGCTGCAGTCTCTTTTATCAGCAAGGTCTTTGTGACCTGTATCTTGTGCTGACCTCCTATCTCATCCTGTAAGGGACTTCCTGGGAATGTAGCCCAACAGGTCTTAGCCTTATGTTACCCAGCCCCTATTCAAGATGGAATTGCTCTGGTTCAAATGCCACTGACAAGATCTGAAATTTTTTTTATTGCTTATTTTGTGAACCCCAAAAATCCGAGACAGGTCTCGGTTAATTTAGAAAGTTTATTTTGCCGAGGTGGAAGACACGCACCTGTGACACGGCCTCAGGAGGTCTTGGTGACGTGCACTTAAGGTGGTCAGGCACGGCTTGGTTTTATACATTTTAGGGAGACACGAGACATCAATGAATATGTGTAAGATGGACATTGGTTCAGTCCGGAAAGGCGGGACAACCAGAGGAGAAGGCAGAACAACTCGAAGTGGGGATGTGGGGGCTTCCAAGTCATAGGTAGATAAGAGACAAATGGTTGCCTCCTTTTTTTTTTTTTAAACAGAGTCTCACTCTGTCACCCAGGCTGGAGTACAATGGTGTGATCTCAGCTCACTGCACTGCAACCTCCACCTCCCAGGTTCAAGCCATTCTCCTCCGCTACTGCTTTCCAAGTGAGAACATAACAATTATGGAATGAATGAATGAATCTGAGTAAATGAACAGACTGTGTCTCCCACTCCCCGCATCTGCTCCTTCTCACATGTTCACTGAGTGGCACCACCATTCACCCTGTTGAAAGGTCTGAAAACCAAGACATGCATTTGATGCAAACTTCTCTTCCCCTCTCATCACAATCAGCAGTCAAAATGCTCCTGCTTCTTTAATAGACCATGCTTATAACCACGCTTTACTGCTCAGCCAACAACATAGCCAAGGTTTCCATTTCACTGGGGCCGCTACAACAGCCTCCTAGCTTGTCCCCATAAAACCGCCAAAAGATCTTCTCCAAAAGCAGGTGGTGATTTTCTCGGAACTCAGTTCTCACCACAGCAGTCTCCTCCTCCAAGCAGTTCAAGAGTTCTGCAATGTGCTCAGGACAAAGTCTGACCTCTTACTGGAGTCTGCAAGGTCCAGGGTGATCTAGGCCATGCCCACCTCCCTGGCCATTTCCTCTTATAATCAATGCTGACGTTTACTGAGGGAGTTAGGTCTTAGGATCATCTTCATTTTACAGAAGACAAAACAGAGGTTCAGAGTAACCAAGTTCCATGCCCAGAGCAGCAGAGCCAACGGGATTCAAATTCAGATCTGGTTAAAGTTCCTACACACTGTGTTTTACTGTCTTTCTTAAGTGGGAACTAGCAACCTGGTCACTTCCTAAAAACTCTGGTTAGTTGAGATATTGGTTCTCTGAATAAGGAGTAAGTATTTGGGCCATGAAACATCTCAGAAGCCTTGATTTAGGCTCGGGTGTAAGAAATAGAGCCCTTGAAAGTCTGGCTGGGGATGTCCCTCCTCAAGGAGAGGGGTGGAGAGTGGGCAGGATGATCCTCTCTGTCCCATAGCTGAGCCCTGACTCTTTTGTTGGGGGCACCTGCAGCAGAGAGGAGCTGCCATTAAGTTTTGGGGGCCCCCACCCCCTGCCTTAGCCCCAAGTGGCTTTCACATTAGTAACATGTAAGGACCCTCTGATCGATGCAGTGACAGCTCCTCCCAGGCAGCCGCCACTCTCCCAAATTTCAACGTGTTCTTTGTGTCATTTGTTCAGCTGAGAAGGTCTAGAAGAGCTGAAGGAGCTTTCAGAGAATGAAGCCCAGCAAGAAGGTGGGGGAAGTGGCAGTCCAGTGACCTGAAGCTCTGCTGTGTCCTGCCGGTAGATCTGGGTTTAGAAGGCCAGTGCTTTGGCTGGGCATACACCAGGGGCCAGGTGGCACAGGCTCCCCTGACAGCTGAAAGTACAGGCTTTGCAGCCAGTCATCCTGGATCTGATTCTGTGCCTTAGATTGTTCAACCGTGAAATGTGGTCAACAGTAGGACTTCTACCTCCAAGGGTTGTTATGAGGATTGAAAGAGGCACAACGTACAGGGCATTTAGCAGGGCTCAGTACGGGATAGTTCTCAAATAATGGTGGGTATCATCACTGTCATTTTGTTGTTACTCACAGAATCTCATCGTGGTTAAGAGTACAGACTGGAGCCAGATTGCCAAGATGTGAATCCCAGCTTTGCCACTTAGTAGCTGTGTGACCTTGGGCAAGTTATTTAACCATTACTGTGCTGCGATGTTGTCATCTGTGAATAGGGACGATAATATCGATCTTAGAGCAATTCAGGTGAGGAATAAATAAGTTGATATATGCAAAGCACTTACAATTGGTACAAAATGTTAAATATGTGTTTATTATTATTACTACTACTGCTGCTGCTATAATAATTATTTGCAGAGGTGGTCAGGGAAAGCAATTCTTGGAAAGAATTTTGGAAAAAATAAAACAAGAAAGCTAGACCTCAAATAAATAAGTGTTACTTTCCCAGGATTGTGAGGGCATAGACTCATTTAGGGAGGGACCATACCGGCTGTTTATTTTATTTTATTTATTCATTCTTGCTGGGATGCGTGGCAGAGAAAATAGGCGTGGGCTTGAAGTTCAGACAGACCTGGGGTCAGAATCCATAAGCTAGTGGCCTCAGGCAGGTCACCTCATGTCTTGTGCCTCAGTTTCCTCACCTGTAAAAAGGAAATAATGATAGTATAAAACCTCCAGGGGGCTGTGGTGAACATTAAAAAATGCATGTTTGGGAAATCTTGGTCCCTGGCACCTTCTACGGTCTGCAGAAATTCTAGTTAATATTCTGATGTTGGCCAGGAGCGGGGGATCATGCCTGTAATCCCAGCACTTTGGGAGACAAAGGCAGGCAGATCACCTGAGGTTGGGAGTTTGATAGCAGCCTGACCAGCATAGGGAAACCCTGTCTCTATTAAAAATACAAAATTAGCTGGGTGTGGTGGTGCATGCCTGTAATCCCAGCTACTCCGGAGGCTGAAGCAGAACAGCTTGAACCGGGAGGCGGAGGTTGCAATGAGCCGAGATTGAGACAGTGCACTGCAGCCTGGGCAAAAAGAGCCAAACTCCATCTCAAAATATATATATATATATTTATATTTTTTTCTGATGTCACTACTGCATGTAGAGTCTACCCAGTGGGGAGCTGGGCAATTCAGACCCAGGGTTGCTGATACAATATCATCTACTCATCCAAGGTACACTGGGCTTCTACAGTGCAGCAGGCATCCTCTAGGCACTGGGGATGCTGCTATGAACAGGACACCCAAGGGTCCTGCTGTCATGGAGTCGGGTGTGCTGGAAATTCCATTAGCATTATCATAGGGGGTCTGAGAAACAAAAGGAATAAAAAGGCATGAGCATGCTTACTTCCTATTTTCTGGAGGATGTGCTGGGATCTTTGGCCACCCAACAGAACCAAGTCGGAGACGGAGACAGGTCTTCAGACCGTCGGAGGGGCTGGGGGCTGGGAATCCCCTAAGAGTGGGTGGGAACTTATCTTTCTTACTATATTGAAAAGAAAAGGCACAAAACCTGAAAGCTGTGTCTTTGCCCTACTTTGTCCCAGCACCACCTGTGTGACTTCAGACCACCGCTTCCCCACTCCTGGGCCCCAGTTTTGGGCATGCAGGGTGATTACCCTCCTCCTAGGCTGTTTTGAGAATGAATAGCGGTGTGCCCCACAGGAAAGCTCTAAGACGGTGGCAGCCAAGAGGAACTTTGTTCTGGTTCCCAGGATCTACCATCCTTCCCGTGCACCGCAGCCCCCTCTACGGTATCTTCTTCCCTGGCAGGACCAGCCTAGAGGCCCCTTCTCCTCTGGACCTCTCCAGGGTCTGGAGTCATATTTTCGTGACAGCCCATGGGGCTTAGTGACTGTTTTCTCCGTGTGTTAGCTGACTCCTCACCAGGTGGCTGGGGCAGCAGGAGCAGCTGCTTCCCTCCTCAGCTTCCTGAAATGAAAGGCTGCCAGACCTAGGAATGCGAGGAGATCCCAAGGGGGAACAGGACACCCGGCAGTGTGGAAGGATCGTGGGGCAGAACTTGGCCAATATTGTCCCATACTGGTTATTACCATGCACTCCCAAGTCCCACTGGCTTGGATTCTAATCCTTGGTCAGCTGCGTGGTCTGGGACAGGTGGCTTCACCTCTCTGAACCACAAGGATTCCATGAGGTCATGGATAAAACTGTTGACCAGAGGGCCGGGCACATGGTTAGTGTTCAATAAATGTGAGCCATGACTCTGATTTCAGAGGAAGTGTAGCAAGTCAAGAGCCAAACTGCCCAGGTTCGAATCCCAGGTCTGTCACTGACAGAGGCGAATCAGGTAATCTCTCTGTACCTCAGTTTCTTCATCTCTAAAATGGATTTAATAAAACATCCTTCCCACCAGGCATGGTGGCTCATGCCTGTAATCCCAGCACTTTGGGAGGCCGAGGTGGGTGGATCACCTGAGGTCAGGAGTTTGAGACCAGCCTGGCCAACATGGTGAGACCCTGCCTCTACTAAAAATACAAAAAATTAGCCAAGCATGGTGGCAGGTGCCTGCAATCCCAGCTACTGGGGAGGCTGAGGCACGAGAATCCCTTAAACCCAGGAGGCAGAGGTTGTACTGAGCCAAGATTGCACCATTGCACTACAGTCTGGGCAACAAGAGCAAAACTCCATCTCAAAATAAATAAATAAATATTAAATAAATAAAACATCCTCCCTCACAGGATTGTGGGGAGAAGTAAAAGAGTTCAGACACATACATTAAAAGTGCTTAGAACAGAAGCTGGCACAGGGCAAGTGCCCCATAATGTGAATGGTTGTTATATCTAATTCCTACCTTTGCATCCTCCCTTTCTTCCCCCTCATCCTTGAATGAGAAGGTGGACTAAGTCATCGAAGTTCAGTTCCCTGCTCCCTCACCAGGCTTCCCCTCCTCCCGGGTCTCCTGGTTCCAGCTGAGCCTTGCTTTAGGAAGAGGAGTCCTCTGGAGGTTTTGGCGTGGCCTGGGAAGGGAGGAGGAGGGGAGTTTCTTCCTGAACACACCCACCAGCAGACTTGACCATAAATAAACACAGCCCCTTCCGCACCTAAGCACACACTCACCCCGGCACCCACTCAAATCCATACACAAACTCACTCCACCCTGTCCCACCCACTCAGAAACCTCACCCCAGCCCCGGCCCAGGTCCCAGGCAGGACCAGATTTCTCCAGTGCATCATGCGAATGATCCCGACAACTGGCTTCCAACTCAGCCGGCCCCGCCCAGCTGTAATTACAGAGAGAGCTGAGGCTTCTGTGCCCAGCCATGACGTCAGCCTGCAGCTTCCAGTCTGATGAGCTCACCCCACATCCAGTGGGGGCTCAGTCACTTGGGACATGTCCCACTGTGGGGTCTCGATCATTCTTTCTCAGCTGGGGAGGAGGGCAGGTGTCTTCATCTGTCTGCTCAGCACAGATATGGGATTCAGAGCAACTCAGGTTCCCTACCAGGCACTGCCACTCCATCTGTGTACAAGGCCCAAGGCTCTGCGCCTCTATTTTTTCACCTGCAAAATGGGGGAGATGATAATAGTGACATGTAACTATCTAGTGAGGGTTTAACTCTCACTCGATAATGTCTGAAATGTACCAACTCCAAAAGCAGATGCACAGAGAGCAATGGACGACAGTGATTTTCTTCATATTATTATTTTTAGCAAACTGCCTCATGCAGGCACTGTTTAATAGCAAAACAATTTCTCAACCTATGACTCACTGAATTCCTTAATATCCTCAACTTACCCTCATCTCGTGAAGACAGCAAGGCAGAGACCCTGAAGCCCACAGAAGGAAAATGACATGCCCCAAATTGTCTACCTGTTGGGGACAGATCAAAGATTAGAACCCAAGCCCAAGAGGCCTCCGGGCCAACGGTGGACTTGTGAATTCATTTTTCCAGCTGCATGGGAGGAGCAGGAAAGTCTGGATTTGGGGCTTTGAGTTTCAGACCAGACATCCCGCCTGAGTATAACACCTTTTGATAATTATCAGTATCAACAGTCATAATAATAGAAGATACTGTTCATGAACACATCTATGGTAGTTTTTCCATCTGTAAAATGGGATAATACTGGTACTCTTACCTCACAGGATTGCTGGTAAGGATTACATGAGTTCACATTTATAAAGTCCATCAAACAGGGCTCGGCCTATAGCAAACATTATGTAGTTGATAACTCAAAATTGAAAATGCACAGGTGCCCATCAGACTGCTGGGTGCTGGAAGAGAATTAGCTCATGTATTCCTCATGGCAGGTCTGTGAGTTGGCTACTATTATGTCCATTTATAAGGAGGAAAACTGACAACTTGGAGATGCCCGGGAAGAATGTTACTGCCGATAAAGATGCTTTGCTTGACCAAACATGAATCAGATTCCTGAATCTTCTCCTAAGCCCATCTGTGCAGTTCTTTATAAAAATTCCGTATTGGCATGAACTCTGCCAAGTCTGTTTAGCAGCAATCACCCATCTTCGATTTCTGATCACCCTCAATATCTGATTAGTTTCCTCATCCTCCACCATCCCCCAGGTGATGTCTGAGCACCCTGGCCTGTCTTCAGCAAGAATTCTCTTAGGTTAGTTGAGCCAAATCGCCCTGATCCCTGGACCTTCCTCCTAGTAATTTTTCATTCGCGGACCCTCCCACCTGCTTCTTGGATACAAATTCCCACTTACCCATGACCTACTGGGTGTCGAGTCCAATCTTTCTCCCTCACTGCAAAATCCCATTTCTGGGATCCCTGCATTTATGGAGAAGTTCCCCTGCCCAGTAAAGTCTTGTTTATCATACTTAACAAGGTTCATACAAATATATATATACACATATATACATTTTAAAAACATTTTTATCTTTTAAAAACATTCTATTCTTATCATACTTTAACAAGTGTCACATGAATATATATATGTATATATACATATTTAAAAACTTCTTTTTCTTCACCACTCTCCCCAGAGGGCATTGAGGCTCTAGGAGTTTGGCTACCTTGTAAGTGGGGATTCCAACCCAGGGCCATCCTTCAAATCCACTGAGCTCCTGTCTCTCTCTTTCCCTTCTGCAGGTCCCCAGGGGAAAGGCAGGATACAACACGCTCTGGGGAAGGTATTTCCAGAGGGTGACCTGAGCCCTCAGCCAGGCTCGGGGTTATTAATAGCCAAGCCTCTGTGCCTTGCTTGCGGTGGGCGGCTCCAGCTCCCGGAGCGAGCAGAGGGCGGAGCTGAGCAGAGTGGCCAGGGGAGGAGAGAGTGTCTGGAGAGGCTGGCTGAACTTGGACGCAGCCCCTCCCTGCCAGCCCAGCTGTTCCTTCTGTGGATTCTCTGGGGCTGGTTCATCACCTCCGAATACTCCTGTGACAGGAGACGCTTGCAAAACCCGCCTCCAGCCTCCAGCAGCAAATAAATAGAAGGCTTGCAGCCCAGAAGGGGCCAGAAGAAGTTTCTAGGCGCGCGTGCCCTGGGTTTATTAAGTTCCTGGCTCCACTCTAGACCTCAGCGGCTCTGGCTGCCAGCCTGGGCGGTCTGGAAGGACAGTGGCTTGCTGGTCTGTCGTGAGGCAGTGCAGAGAGGGGCCCTCTGGGATTCTGCTGGACCTGCCTGGTGGTCATCTTTGGGGGCCGGGACCCCAGCTGAGGGGGCACAACCGTCCCTGGCAGCGGTTGGCTCTGCTTCTCCCTGCAGAAGAACAGCCTTTTCGGAAGCTGAAGAATAAGCCAGCCCAGCCACAACACCTTGTTGTGTGACCTTGGGCAGGTGGTTCCGTCTCTCTGAGCCTCTGTTTCCCTCTGAGCTCAGCAGCCACCATGGCTGACGGTCAGATGCCCTTCTCCTGCCACTACCCAAGCCGCCTGCGCCGAGACCCCTTCCGGGACTCTCCCCTCTCCTCTCGCCTGCTGGATGATGGCTTTGGTATGGACCCCTTCCCAGATGACTTGACGGCCCCTTGGCCCGACTGGGCTCTGCCTCGTCTCTCCTCAGCCTGGCCAGGCACCCTAAGGTCAGGCATGGTGCCCCGGGGCCCCACTGCCACGGCCAGGTTTGGGGTGCCTGCCGAGGGCAGGACCCCCCCACCCTTCCCTGGGGAGCCCTGGAAAGTGTGTGTGAATGTGCACAGCTTCAAGCCGGAGGAGTTGAAGGTGAAGACCAAAGATGGATACGTGGAGGTGTCTGGTGAGTCGGGGGCAGGATGGAGAGGCGATCGGGGAGGGGGTGTAGGCCTTAGCCCTGGGAATAGCCAGGAGAAAGTTTCCTGAGAGCAGATGCTATGACAGTGTGACCCAGGTGACCTCAGGGCTCAGGAATGCAGCCTGCAAAGTTATCTTTATGAAAAAGAGCTCCTCTCCCAGCTCCCTGGAGAGAACTTAACCTGCTTGACTCAGCTATTAGGGCCTTTGGGTGCTGATCAATCAGGGTACAGGCAGGAACGTGAAACCATGTTGGATATTTTGACAGAGAGCATTTAATAGAAAGAATAGATTAAGCAGATATCAAAGAATTAAAAAACAAAGAAGAAATGGGATTTGGTGCATTCCAGCCTCACAACACAGGGTCTAGAAGTGCACGTTAGGCTGAACAGTGATAGTGTTCAAAACCACAGCTGGCTTCCCGTGAAACACCTCTCCTTGTCCCAGACAAGGAAACTGAGGCTTACCAGTAATTTTAACACTAACTGGTAACTTTGAGTGCTAACTACGTGTTCAGCACCTTGCTAAGTGCCGTTGCCTGTAACATCTCAGCTAATACAACAACCAGAGGAGGTGGGTCCTGTTTATCTTCTTTTTTTGCAGATGAGGAAACCGAGGCACAGAGAGATTGAAGTAACTTGAAACTCCCCCTGAACGCTGGATTCAGACCCAGGCTATCTAAGAATTAGGAGGCCAGAAAGAAGTGATGATTTACTGAGTACCTACGAGATACCAAGGACTGGGCTGAAATTCTCAGACTTCTCCAAAACCATCCTCAGACCAGCCCAGAGTAGCAGGGGTGGCTAGGCCCATCTTGCAGTGATGAGGCTGAGGCCTAGGTGGGACTTACTCACAGTCATGCCATGAGTCAGCAAGAGGACGTGAGTAGGGACTGTACCTGTCCACTGCTTTAGGCCAGGGCTATTATTGCCACATCCCACCCTGGGAGAAAGAAACATACTAGGGGGAAAAAAGAGAGAGAAGACAGGAAGCTCACCCCTGTTAAGCTGGGCAGCAGAAAAAGCTTTCTTTTCCTTCCCTCCCGATTTACAATTAATACTCCATTACAAAGATTGTGTTCCCGGCAGAGGCTTGCCTTCCAGAAAATCAATTAAAGCCACTGCAAACAAAGGCTGGGCAGGAACAAGCCCCAGCAGCGTTCAGGGGGAGTTTCAAGCCAGTCACGGCAGAATTATAAACATCAGAGGCTCTGGCGGGTGTGGTGGGCCGGGAGACACGCTGGGGCCACGTGCTGCCGGACAGGGTCAGCCAGATCTCCGAGTTGGCTGGGAAGCCAGGCACGAGATCCGACAAGTTGGCTCCAACTCTAAACAGCAGGATGTGCAAATTACTTCACTTCTTTGTGCTTCTGTTTTGCTTTCTCTCCTGGAAATTAGGGTTCAAATAGTTACACCATAAGGTTGTTGTATTAAATGAGGTGATGCTGTAAAATGTGTACGTACCCGTGAACGCGGAAAATCTGAGACAGATCTCAATTAATTTAGGAAGTTTATTTTGCCAAGGTCGAGGGCAGGCCTGTGACACAGCCTCAGGAAGTCCCGATGACACATGCCCAAGGTGGTCCGGGCACAGCTTAACTTTATACATTTTAGGGAGACATGAGATATCAGTCGATATACGTAAGAAGTACATTGGTTCTGTCTGGAAAGGCGGGACAACTGGAAGCAAAGACAGGAAGACCTGAAGCAGGGAGAGGGCTTCCAGGTCACAGGTAGGTGAGAGACAAATGACTGCATTCTTTTGAGTTTCTAATCAGCCTTTCCAAGGGAGGCAATCAGACACGCATCTATGTCAGCCAGCAGAGGGGTGACTATGAATAGAAGGCGGGGCAGGTTGGTCCTAAGCAGTTCCCAGCCTGACTTTTCCCTTTAGCTTAGTGATTTGGGAGCCCCAGATTTATTTTCCTTTCACATTTCAGTATTATTATTGTCGTCGTTGTTAGAGTGCCAGGCACCCAGGAAGGCGCCAATAAATAATGAATAATAGATGCTCTTCGAAACCTGGGTTGAGATCCCAGCACTGCTCTTCACTAGCATGGTGGATGTGGACAAGAAATTCTTTTCATCCCGCTGAGCCTCAGTTTTCCCATCTGCAGAATGGGGATTACAATAATACCTGTCCTGCAAGAGTGTAGGAAAGATTAAACACGTGCAGACTACCTATGAAAGTACATGCAGAGTGTCTGTAAAATGGAGAAAATCATGGTGCTTGTCTGGCACTCTCTAAATGGAATGATTATCAAGATTCCTTCTGTCCTCGTTTTAATTAAGGTCTTAGATACTTCCAGCCCTAATCCAAGGGTCTACCCCACTCTGTGGCCCCTCTATGAGGCCCTC